AATGGATTGATTTTATCTACTTGGAAAACATGTTGTTTGTTGGAAAACAAGTATTCAGATCTGTTTAGGAATAGCTGGTTCCCAAAGCTGTGTCAGTAAGACCTCTTCATCATACCTAAAACTAATTCAGAAATTTATAGAAAATACTCTGTATCAAAGAATAGTGAGTGAAACTTTGACCTAGTCAGCAAACTCATGAATACATGTAGGTTAATTGTGGGCCTCTCATAATTTTCTACCTTTAGCTTTTTCTGCCTTTGTCTTCATATCTTGTCTTTTTATCTCTTCAAGTTGATCCTTTGAAGAAGAAAAAGTAATTACATGGTGTTACATCTGATAAAATATTAGTGCATATTTTTCCGAGAGTAGGACAATTTTTCACAATTATTCATATATTGCTTTTAGATTTGGAGTGCTGAGTGGAGCACGAATGGGATGCCAAATATGCTGCTGCAGCACGTCATTAGTTAAGTGCCTGCTTTATTCTGCATGGGAGGGTGTTCTGTGGCTGCATTCCAGAACAGTAACCTGTTCCCATTCATCTGATGGAGTGCCTCCCATTGAGGACACCAACAGTGGTGAAAAAATGGCACGTGGAATAGCTAAAAAAAATATTCTCACGCACACCACATAAACCTTTGAAGAATGTACAAGTCAAGATAGATCCTGCCATGGTCACCCGCGTCGGTGATTCCAGCGCGTGTTTACTCGGGACGCGGCTCGTGGGCTCCCTCAATCCTGCTCTGGGTGGGTGGTTTGGGTTGTCCGCCCATGTGCAATTAACATATCAGACTTTTGAAGTCTTGCTCAATGGAAGATTTGAGAATCAAGTGATGTGTTTGTTAAGGCATCAAACTGGGCCAAAACAGTATTTGCCTGAAGGAAGGTGAGTTTCCTATTTTCCACACCTTAAGAGAGATCAAAGGAGCCTTTCTTTAACACTGCAGGTGTCAAGGCGGGACAGATCCCTGCTGAAGGTTTCAGGTGTTATTTCAGAAAGTAAAAAATAAACCCAACACCTCTCTGCAAAGGCTGGTGCTGAGCTTTACATTTTTCTTTGTGTCTTCTGATATGTCTAAGATATGATACAAGGCTGTGATCCTGTTATCCTGCAAGGAACTTGTGGATCCTTCGAGTTACTTAGTGCCATACCATTGATGGTTCTGAATGGATTCCTCACAGGTAAAACAAAACAAGCATTAACAGCTTAACACTTACACTGAATGTATTGAATAGGACTTATTTTAGATTGCCTTAAGATGCAATTCCCAGGTGTTCAGCACTTTGAAGTTTGGTCACACTGAACTCGGTCAAACTGACATATTTGAAGCAAGGTTTCTTTTAAGATTTTTCATGTCTCAGAACAAGGTTGGAGGATATACATTGGGTTTGCCTGTATTAAAAATACCATTACTTTTATAAAAGAGAATATACAACTTACGAAGAAAAGGGATAGGATGAAGATCAGCATGGAAGAAGGGATGGATACGAAGCATTTGGACCTGAAATCTGTATTTTCCCACAGAACCCTTAATTAGACATAAGCCTTTTTCCCCCCTTTTGCTTCTAGCAAGTGCCTGCTTGCCCAGCTGAAGCACTTAGAGGATAGCAAGTTCCTACTGTAACCAATTAGTGCCTCATTAAGGACACCAACTATTTGTCAAGCATTCCTTAAGATGAGGAGCACCCACAAAAAGCCCTGAAGGGAATTAGTCAGTCTCTGTTCAGTGCAGATTTAGGGAGGTGTGGTAGGCAAAACCTAAAGCCACATGTTGAGTGATGAGTATGAATAGAAAGCTGGAGGAGCTGCCCCTTCCCAGAAAATGGTGGGACACAGAGTTGGGAGTAGGTCCAGTATAAGACTGTTATCTATTTATACAATTAATGACTCTCATACCTCAGGAGCCTCAGGAATAAACTTAGTTCTATAATTTTATTTCAGAAGCTTTGATTTCGCAATCTGAAGTTTTGGGGGCAATTTTGTACATTGTGCAGCCTAACTGAGTCTGTGCATTGTGACATTTATCAGAAGGTTTCCAGATTATTTGCAGTGCAACAAGGAGAGGAATTAAGAAAGAGAAGTCCAAGGACTGACACATCAACTATTATGTTCCTAAATGGATGGAGTATGTTAGAAAATTGTCTCCAGTATATGGAGCCACCATAGGGAATATTTGACACCTTTTTATACTGTCTAGACAGTCCCTCAGAGATGGGAGACTGACAATTTTTAGAGGAGATATTCACAGGCACTTGGGCCCATGTGAGGCCCAGGAAATCGATAATCAAGGATTAAAGCCAACTTTATGTCTTAGAGAGCAGCCATCTTATGATTAACCTGATTTCTGCAGAAAAACAGGTAGTTTCAAGCTGCACTTTGTTATTTTCCTGAAGAATCTTAGCCAATGACTTCCCTCACTGGCTCCTGATTACCCCATAATCCATGCCAGAAAAGCTTCCTGTAGGAAGGTTTAACTCACCTTATGGCATTGTGGCACAGAAAGGCAGATTCCTCTGAAGGCAGTAGATTAATGTAATCTTTGTCAGGATACTCCTAAATTTAGCCTGAGTATTCCAGAGAATGGAAACTGGCTGGACCCAAGTTAATGAGAGGTTGCAGTGATGGGTTTCAGTGGTGCCAAGGTTTCAACCCAGTTGTCTGAAGAACAGGAAGGTCAGTCCTATGAATTCTGAACACTGCACCAACAGGGTCAGAGAGAAACCTCGAAGACCTCAAGATGTATTTCAAGTGGTTTCAGTTACAAACCTCCTGACCACAAAGACCAGAGAACCTCAGTGTTCTCTTTGCCTGCAGAAGAGGGTTTAGGGGATCTGGCTGACTCACTGTTACCACTTTGCTGGGTGGTCCTGCACGCTTTTACAGGCCATGAATTTGTTAGTATTAATCAGTAATAATTACTTTGCCCTACTGACATTTTTGCAGGAGTAGTGTATAACATTCTGGTAGAAAAGTGAAGAGTGACACCAACCATTCTTAAAAAATCACAAGTAAACCAAATTTTCTTGTTTTCAGATGTATTTATTATTAGCTCATAAAAAAAGCACAATAAATTGCATTTATAATGGAAATAAGACACATAAACTTAATATATTACTAGCACTTGTAGCTAGATTGTCAGCAGTTTTCTGAAATATCAGATATCTCACACATTTCAATCTAGAAATATCTGAAATTACCACCATGGCTAAGACTGGGAAAAAAGGAAGCATGGTTGCAGTGAAAGTCTTTCTTTAATTCCACTGATTCTTTATCAGGGCTTAAAGTCTGAATCATCAGATATTTCACTATTTTGCCTTCCTGTAAGTGGACTCAGGTGTTTTGACAAATGTTGCCCCATCTCTGGAAATGTTCAAGACCAGGTTGGACAGGGCTTGGAGCAACCTGGTCTAGTGGAAGGTGTCCCCGCCCATGGCAGGGGGTGGAACTGGATGACCTTTTAAGGTCCTTTCCAAGCCAAACCATTCCATGATTCTATGAAAAATACAGAGGCTTCAACACATGCTTCTGCCTTTTTCCAAACCTGGGGACTTACTCTGTGAGCAGTTCAGAGCCAGGACTTGAGGTGTTTTACCTAAGGTTCTGTGAAGACACCAACACATGATACAGTAGTAGGGAGATACTTTCAAAATGAACTATAAAAATCTGTATTCCAAAACTCTAACTTTAATTAGATGCTTAACACCCATATATAAAACCTGTTAACAATTGGCCTCTGAGGTATCAGATACAGTACAGATGTAATTTCAGCTGCCTTGGTTGTAGCTGCAGATTTCTGACTCCTGTGCTCTGTGCCTGTGGCAGAGCAGGTTGGAATTCATTTTATTGTCAGTAAATTCCACTGCAGGAGATGTACTGGATACACATGGATCACTGAATAAAGGGCCTCCAGTGACCACAAGCGTGGAGGAAAAGGAGGTTGTTTAGGAGGGGTTAAATTCAGGTACTGGCTACCAGTTCCTTTCATGTTCATAAGTGGTGGTAATAGGAATTAACCACAGCACTCCTGCAGCCAAGGCTTTTTATGCTTACACATTCCAACAAAAATAAATAAAAATAAATAATTAAATAGACACATAATCAAACCATTAAATAATGGAATATTGAAACAGTTCTTTCTGGAATTTACTTTACAAATAACTTAACATATGAAATGGTTCGAATAGTAACTGCCATCAACTGCCCTTGCAAGTCATGCCAATAAATAAATAAATAAATAAATAAGTACATAAATAATGCATAAATAAATAAATATTAAATAAATAAATGAAATATAATAATATGAACCGACAATAATAGCTGACTGCAATGTATCAAATTCATGTTAATATAACATGATGTATGCTAAAGGTGTTACTCATATCTGGGGAATTTAAGAGCTGCCAAAATCAGGAACATATTCATATCTTACAAAAAAAGACATATTATGACTTCTTAATAATCTCAAATGCAGATTTTTCTTCAAATTGTGCTTATATTCTTGTGCTGGTTCCTTCTTTGCTTTCTTTAGGAGTATTGTGCCATCCTCCTGGAATCTCTTACTAGTTATCTGTAAAATAAGAGAAAGCAAATTTACGTAAGAATTATCTTAATTCTCCTCAGACCCAGATTTTTAGTCCACAGGCCCACATCATGCAAGGCTCAGGAGGCTCTGTGTCTGATGGGGATCAGGGATTCAGCTTCAGCTGATGCGTGTGAGGCACTATAACCCAACCCATGTCCTTGAAGCTACATTCATTGTTTCCTCTCTGATTTAAATGGATTCTAATTGTTTCCTCGATTATTTTTGTAAGAGAATCACCATTTAAGCAGCCCAACACATTTATTCTCTTACAGATATTTAATGAAAAAGAATATTCAGGAGACAAAAATGATTACAAGGAAATGTAAAATCAATGATCATTTAAGATTAGAAAAAAAAATCATAGACTCCATACTCTTCTAGGTAAGGAATCATCCCTGCTTCTCTAGTAGAAGGTTCTTTAAGCCTTACCTGCAGAGTGAAGACCAGTCACTCCAGGATGAGTGGTAATAACGATCCCTGGCCTGCACGGAAATCTCATCCTTTGGCCCAGTGTTTGGAGGGTGGAATGACTGTTCATCAGTAACATAGATGACCTGTGAACAGGGCACAGCTCCTTCAGTGGGTTGTAAAGGTTGAGAACACAGCACCAGAAATGTTCCAACAAGCTCATGTCACTTAAACCCCCACTGGCAATCTGGTGTTTCACAGGCACCAGTACCACCCACAGACAGCAAAGGCTTGTGAGAACTGGAGCCTCAGCAGAAACCAACTAAACAGTCCATGTGAGAACTTGAGTCACAGCAGAAACCAACTAAACAGCTCATGTTCCACTGAAGTTGGTGTTCTGAAGTGATCCAAACCCCAGACTGAAACACTCATTAAGACAAAGGGGTTATTTATTTATCTGGGGTTTTCTCTTTTTATTTCTTCTCTCAGAGAGAGAACCATAAAAGACAGAGGTTACTCCTTTTCAGTGTCGTTGAAATGCCCACTGAGGCCCTGTGGCTGATACAAGAAGCATCTGGAGACTCTCCAGTTTCTCCACTGAAGGGATTGTAGGAGCCAACACCACTAAAATCAATGGGGGAATGGCCCCATCTGCTGGTACGGGCGAGTGGATTCTGTCCACAGAGGAAAACACATCCTCTTAAGATATGTCTCTGGATTAATCCCCTGACAAGCTGGGATGATCACTACATTTGCTTGCTTTTCTGATTGCTGGACCAAGGCAGAGCAGCACTGCAGTTCAGGTCCTGCTCTGTGGTCAGCTGGTCTTTCCAGTTCTCTGCCAACCCAGGCAAGTCACCATCACCACTGTGTGTCAGTGAGCATCAGCAAAGGAAGCAAAATCATCTGTGATTTAAAACTGACACAGAGGAACAATGTTTAGATAATAATTATCTAACAAGAAATAGAGTGGCAAAGACCACAGACTGAACAGAAATGCTTCCAAATGAATCGGTGATTCCTTATTTCTTGTTCCCCTATAAAGTCTGAGCTGCCCAGGCACGAACAACATACGAGGAAATCCGTGTAAGAGATCTGAGACTTCTTGATTTGGAAATTGGGATTTTCATACATTAGGACCCACACAGCCTACTAATGAATTGGTAAATACTTTTCTCATGCTAGCACAGCTATGTAATGCTGGGTAGGATTTTCTCTCCTCAGTAACATCAGGGATCTTACTGCTCATAGAACTGGGAAGGTGTTTTTCTGCCAAGGCAGAACTTGCCCCATTTGGGTCTGAGCACTCTTTTTTTTTAATTTTAGTTTGTGATTCTTACATACAAAACTTATATTATTTATACTGTCTGTTCAAGCAATAAAATTGTGTTTCAAATGTATTTTTACCGGGGTTTTGCGTTTCTTCGTGCTTTTAACTTTGACCTTAAAAGTCAAAGGGAAGTAGGACTTCGGAGTGCTCCATGTTTTGGGATATTCCCAGGTCACCATTCCATTTGTGGCCGCATACCGACATTGGGGTGGGTCAGGTTTTACTGCAAGAGAAAATATAGAGGTAATTAATTCACATTAGCAACATAATATTGGATGTTGGTGTCCTACTGTTTATAGTTTTATCGGAATGAGCACTGGGAGACTCCAGGAGATTAGGAGAGGAGTAGATATTATGTATAAGAACTGCCTTTTGTGCTACTCACAGAAAATAAAGCACACTCCCATAATATCTCTGGGTAAGATCTGAAGGGTTGCAGAGGGCTACATTGGACACGGAGGAATATCTTCAACCTCTGCTGACTATTAGGGCATTTAACAAACACCTGTTTCTTTAGGATGCCCTGTGGCATCATGATCACAATTTATATCCTCTTATTCCTATCCATTTCTATTAATCTGCCCTGGACGCCCATCTGTGGGAATGGATCAGGAGGGAAGCATCCATAGCCTTAATGAGTTCTAAGAGAAAAGCCTGCTGGGTTATTGGTTGTTCTCTGACTTCTTCCACATACCCCTTCTGAAACATGCCCATCTATTAGAGGAGGCTACAGAACTTCTGGGACATGTGGGCGTGAGAGGGTTGAGGTCACAAGCCAGGGAGATATTGCTTCTTCACTTCCTCATCCTCTTCCAGGCTGCTGCTATGGCATGTTTTCCCCTGTTCCTGTAACTGGGGGCTTGATGCAGATTTACAGTATAATAGGGCAGGGATTCCCAAGGCTGGTGTGATCACCTACCCTTGCTTCCACTGTCAGCAGCAAGAATAAAGCTAAGAATTGATCATGATTCCTGGTCTACTCACTGATATCTCTGATGAAGAAGCTGCTGGTGTAGTTCTCATATTCCACCTCATCAATGACCTCCAGGAACACGTCAATGGGCTGGGACTCTTCAGCAAAGGGACAGAAGTTTTCTTTGCGGCACTGGGACGTGTATTTGGTCACTGATCCATCAGTGTGAGCCACAGGGCTGCTGCAGGTCACATCTCCCTGAGGGCTGGACACAGAACAGAGTAAAGGAGTGGGGATGCTGGTTGGTTCTGAGAATGTGTTGCCACAACAACAACGACATGTAGTGTTGTAAGGTTAGGTAAGGTAATATTTTGATGTTGTTTGTATCATTTCATGGCTGCCTTTCATCTGCTGCAGAAAAAGCTCAGTGGGAGTTCCTGCATTTTCAGTGCTGTAGGACATATTAATGTAAAATCACAACCACACCACACCTCCTGCCTTAGCAGAAGGAATCAGTGTTTAATCCTAAAGCAGGGTATCTCTGTTCTTATTACTACCATCCTGTGGCAAGCTCTAGTATCTTACTTTGTTCCTTCACCCTCTCCAAATCCTTGCTGAAGAAAGGAGGGAAGGTTGAGAAGTATCTATTGGGAAATAAATGCCAAAACCCACCTATAAAGTACTATCTGAATCTGGTTCTATTTTTGCATTCAGCAAAATAAAACTTGTTTCTTGTTGTTTCTTCTTTAATGAACTGAAGTGACTTTTGCTGAAGTACTCCATGTTTTGGAGAAACCCCCAGGAGTGGTGGGAGGCAGGAAATCCCCCCAAGGTTCCCGTCACACATTTCCCTCACAGGTTTCTGCTGTGTTCCTCAGCAGAGACTTGTCAGTGGGCATGTGGCCTCTGCCGTGGGTGCAGCCTCCCACTCCCTTCATTCTGTAGAGAGGGGACTCGGAGCTGTGGTTGTTTCTGCTTTTGGCTCAACTTCCTCTCTCCCCTCCACAAACTCTTCTGCTATTGCTTAAGTTATTCTGTGGCTGAAACAGCCCACTGGGGGTCATTCCATTTTCATGTCTTTATTAATTTCTGAGCTACTTCCATGCCGTTATTGGTTAACTTATTCCCTGTGATGCCTCAAAATATTTTGCAGATATTCTGGCTCTGCGAGAGAAATTTCTTCCTTTCTACATGTTCTAAACAGCCTAAAATCCGGGATCTCCTAGACAGAGTAACACAAAGGGCTGCTCTGGCCTTACTATGAGTTTGTTAAGGAAAGTACAAGCTCTTACCCTTTTAGACTTCTGATGGTGAACTTCACATTTGGATTCTCATTTTCTGTCATCCATGAACACATGAAAATTCCAGAGTAGTTCTTTGCCTCACATTTTAAAAACGTCCACTTTGGCTCTAGATGGAAAAAGAAAGAAAACATGGTTTATTTATTATTCTTACCGAAATGGTCAAAGCAAAGACAAAACAGCAGTTCGATGGACTTATATCTATTTTGGCAGGTGGGTTCACAGGCAGACACAGTCTGAGACTGTCCCGTGGGCAGCCACGTGTAGTTAGAGCCAAATAACCACAGGTGGTGGTCAAAGGCTGGTTCACGTGGCACCACATCAACGTGGCATTGACAGAAGCCAGAGCACACCCAGGCTGTGGCAAAGAGCTGTCAGGAAGAGATTTACACGGACAAATCAACTGTTCCTTCCACAAAGAAATCCTGCAGCTGTACAGTGGGCAAATCCCTGTGTTTGTTACCACAGAGACATTGAAGGAATTATTTGCCTTCCACTGTCAGTAAAGCCTTTAAGAGAACCCGTTTTAAAGTGGGTGTTTCTCACACATTTCCAGAAAGCTCCCTCTGGCCCTCAGTGCCCAAAGCTGAGCAAGGAGCATCCCATCATCTTACATACCTTTAAAGCTTTTCAGAATCGACCTTATCATTTGTCCATTGGAGTCGATTTTGCTTATGAGGAAGAAATTATAGCTGAGGATTTCATGGGTATTCTCTGCCAGACAGGTGTAGTTTCCAGCATCTGGGAATTCCTTCACTTCAGCAATCAGAGTCTTTCCTTTTCCCTTCCATTCAGAGTCCTTTTTCCAGTAAACTGCTTCATTAGGTGAGTTACAGGTGAGCTCCACTCTTGTAGCTGGTGTTTCAGCATTCCACTCAGATTCTATGACATACACTGGACATGGCAAAGAAAGAAATTAGCAGCTACTCCTACATGCCAGTGGGAAGGTTGGATTGAGTCCTTTTCCTCAGCTCTGCTGTCCAGGAGCTCAACACTCCAGTATGTTGTGAGTTCCAGTGAGTTCTAGCACCTTCTCACCAGAGCATTTCACCACCAGAATAAGAGCTTTAAGGCTTTACCACAAAGGAGGAACACTAAGAAATACCTGTCAAACACAGAATCTTAACTGACAGAAAAGATTCAGCTCTAGGAAGTTTGGAAGCTTCCCAAACTGCTCATGGACATGTGAAACACAGGCAAGGTGAGTCTTACAGACTTCAAACACAAAGTTTATTCCCAATGCTGACAAACAGATTTGCAGTTTTCAGCACTGTGGTATTGCCCAGAGAACCCACAGGATACTTTTTTTTAAATGTAAATATATGGGAGAAAGTAATTTAATTCCTTTTTAGAAATGGAACACAATAGAGGATATTTTTTTCATGTTGACTTGGGTCCTTCTTTTTGGACAATTGCCTTGAAGGCAGCTTGGATTATGGAGCTACACTGAGTGAATAAGAACAACAAATTTTATTATCTGAATTTAGCCAAATTTTCTGGTAAATTATTCAAAAGAATTGTTTGTTTATTACCGACCCTGTATTTTTACAAATGTATTTACATTTGACTTATTTGCCAGAAAAGTTGATAAACTATTTCTGAGTTTTAAGTTTTACTTAGAAATATTTTTTCCACAGTTAATTCTTCACTCGTTTGATTTTGGGCTGTTATCTAAGTCACAAGAGGCTGTTTCTGCCTCCAGGCTGCATGACTGAAACTTTTGAAACACGAGGAGAAGGAATAGGAAATAAGACAGTTGTTAATGCAAATATAACAAATATGCTATTGTATGACATTTTAGGACTTCTAAATATTTCTTCCAATAACTCCCATTAATTGGCTAATTATTGACAAACAAAGACATAGGAAGAACTGTGGCCTAAGATACTATAATTAACAAATTCTGTGCATGTGGCCACAATTATAATTCAAAAATGCCCATGTCCTGAAGGCAGCTGAAGGTCTCAGGAGGTGAAGACTCGCTTACCATTTTCCTGAAGTTTCCACTGCACAGCTTCCAGTAGGGCAGCAAAGGAAAACAGTGAAAGTAAGGCACAGAGCAGGTGAGGCATCTGGAAGGAAAAAATAAATTGCTGAACTTCATTGAGGTTGGCTGAGTGTGCACTGAAATCAGGCTCATGCTGAACAGAGTGACAAGACAGGGTCAGTCCCAGTGAACTAAGAAACATTCTCCTGTTCTAAAAGCTCTTGGACTATGTAAAAATTGAGTTTGTAACACTATTTTGATCCACTTGTAGCTTTCACCACAAGCCAGAGTAGAGAAGCAATCATGGACCTCAGAGGAAATTGTTGTGTGCATTGATGTATCAGGAGCTCAGAAGCATCCTCAGATCCCTTGGCTTCATGCAAGAAAAGTCCTTCTGATGCCAGTGAGGCCAGTTGTATGAACAAGGCACTGGACTAAAGAATCAGTGGACATTAAATTTCATTCATGCAAAGCTTGTGGGCTAAACACATCAGCAGTCCTAATAAAACAAAAGATTGTCAATAAAGGGAAGGGCCTGCTGAAGGGTTTTGCTGGACCATTGTCCCCATCATGTCTGTGAGAACAAGTGACAGCAGGGTCAATAACACAGTGTACAGCTGGAGCCAACACTGACCATTGCCTGACTGTTCTAGTGTCCACCTCAGGTTGCACACTCTAATTAAATTTTCAAGCAATTTCAGGCAAAATTCCTACTGGATTCAGTGCCACAGCTCTATTTGCAGAAAGGGCTGGATACGTAGATCATTGTTGCTGTGTTTGTAGCTGTATTTACAATATATAAATGCATATTTATCCTGAACTTATTCAAAATACTGCTAGAGCTCTTTATGAAACACCAAACACCTTTATCAAATATTGTAGTAACCACTGGGTGCATAAAAAACTTTAACAACTGTTATTTAGATACACTTCTAGACCTTTTTTAACTGGAGATTAAGCCAAATGAATAGGAAAATGGCTTAGAAAAAGAGACTGCTGAATATAGCTTCCAAAGCCTATTCTGACTACAGTGTTAGTCCAAATGCACATGAAAAACACAAAATTAAGTGGTTGGGGTTTTTTTCCTCCCAAACCAGTCTTTTTTTTAATAAAAGGGGAGTAGCCCTCCTGATTTCTTGAGAGTGTGTGTTCCTATGTGTGCCCAATCTGTTCCTCACTGGCAGCTCCTGCTGTTGTGAGCCATCCTTAACCTCGATCAGAAATCAGCTGTCCCTGGGCCAGTGCCCTTTGGATTTGTGCACAGCTATTAATGGGACCAGAAGCTACCAGCAAAGTATCTGGAGGGTGTTTAGGAGAGGAACCAGCTCCTGTTGCATCTGCACTGAGAGCAGCACAAACCCCAGTGAAAAGCCGGTTACCATCGAGCAGCCAAATACAGAATCATTTAGGTTGGAAAAGACCTCTAAAACATATAATATCCTATTAGTAGTGTATTGCTTCATTACAAGGCAAACACTCTTTGCTGATGATTTCATGTGCAGGCAGGATTATCTGGAATTTCCAAAAGAAAACTACATTTTGCAACTTTCTGAAAAGACGCCGATTTCTGTCATTGAAACACGACATTCATCACTACACTTCATAAACCCAAAACTAAACATCAAAACACCAACTAAAACTGGAGGAGTGTGAAACATGCCTTTCCTTCCATAGCAACCTTTTGTCAAAATTAAAACCTGCAAAACAGAAAAGTTTCTCCTGGTTTTGGGGGGAAGCTTCACAGATTTGTGATGAAAGAAGTTAACAATTTTAACAGAAATTATTCCATTTTTGAGATGGGGGGAGAACACTCCCTCCTCCATCTCAAAATTTTATTGAAAAATTAATCAGAAATAAACTCAGTTTCTGAACATCATTAATCAGTGCAGTTGCCTGAGCACTTCATAGATGAGGAGAGCATTCCAACATCATATGTTCAGAGAATCACAGAATTATGGAAAGGTTTGGGTTGGAAGGGACCTTAAAGATCATCCAGTTCCACCCCCTGCCATGGGCAGGAACATCTTCCACTAGACCAGGTTGCTCCAAGCCCTGTCTAACATAGCCTTGAACACTTCCAGGGATGGGGCAGCCACAGCTTCTCTGGGCAACCTGTACCAGGGCCTCACCACCCTCACAGAGGAGAATTTGTTCGCATACATTCAACCTAAACCTACTCTCAGTTTGAAGCCATTCCCCTTTGTTTTGTCACTCCAGACCCTTGTCCAAAATCCCTCTCCAGCTCTCTTGGAGTCCCTTTAGGCACTGGAAGGGGCTCTAAGGTCTCCCCAAAGCCTTCTCTCCTTCAATCTGAACACCCTCAGCTCTTCCAGCCTGGCTTCAGACCAGAGGAGCTCCAGCCCTTGTAGCATCTCTGTGGCTTTCTCTGGACTTGCTCCAGCAGCTCCATGTCCTTCTTTTGTCGGGGACCCCAGAGCTGGAGGCAGCACTGCAGGAGGGGTCTCATGAGAGAAGAGTAGAGGGGCAGAATCCCCTCCCTTGGTGTTCTCTCTGTGTTCCCTGTGATATGGAGCACAAGGTGCTGTAAATCAGCACAAATTCCTTTGCTGAGAATCGCAGAATAATTTCTGTCAGCAAGGACCTCTGGGCCTCATCTGGCCCAGTCTCAGCTCTAGGCAAGGCCAAGTCAATGGAACAGTCTGACCATAACTACATATTTGTCACCATTCACACCCCAGCAACACCAGTACAGTGAGATAAAGAGATTATTACCTGATGGCATAGATAACAATTCTGTGAGCTTTGTACATACGTACATTATATGCTAAACTTCAGGGAGATAAGCATAGAAATACTATCCTGAGAAAATGTCACAAAAACTATTTAAATACACTTTAAAATAAATAATTATAAGTTCTCATTAGTTTTATCTGAAGCAGCTGGTACCAGAGTAAGAGAAGAAAGGAATTCTCACCTTTTCCTGTGACGGCGCCTTTAGTGAAGTTGTCAGGCAGGTTTGATTTGTGATCTGAAGGAAGCGAAGTGCTGGCTCCCTTATAAATACTCCTAAACTCTGAAAGGAAAGGGATGCTCTGTTTCACCGCAATACCACAGAATTGCAACACGTGGTTTGAGTTCCTTTTTTACATAGTGGCACAGCTAAAGCAAAAAAAAAAAAAAGTTTGGGACTCCCAGGTAAACTTGAATGAGGAAATGAGATTATGAGATTGTTAAAATGACCTTTATAGTTTGAGCATTTCTTTTTCCTGTCTGATTCTCTGTCTCTCATACAGCCTGTTCATTATGTAAGGAAGAGTAAATACAGGCCAAATAAACTTCCAAAACTCTCTGGTGGGGAATACATTATAAAGACAGAAAGAGAAAGTTAAATAAACTAAAACCATTTCTACATGATAAGCATCAAAGAGATAATTACATGAAATACAATCCCAGCAACCACATCAATCAGAGGTAAAGGGAATATATATATTTTTTTATTAGTATTTTAGAATTGTGTTTGTTCTAAGAATTGAGACTTAGGTCAACCAAAAAATAAACAATTAGTTCCAGGTTAGAAATAAAAACTGGGTATTCACACATTATTTTATGTTGCAGTTTTTAAATATAATCTAATAAACCTGATGTACCTTTTAGACCTCAGGTATAAGAAGAGCTCTGTGCTCAATATGGGGTGTGAAAATGAGGAAAAAGTTTTCATTTTTTTTTAATTATTTGTGAAATAATAGAATACAATTCTCATTATTTGTCAAGCAAACCGAAATACATGGATTATAAAAGCAAAAAAAAGTTTTGAAATTCAACCTGCTTAGGAAGAGACATGACTCTATCCCATGTACTTTCCAGTGACAGTATTCCTACAGTCAAAGCCATAGTGCCGAAATCCAGCAGTAAAAAGATGGTGCCTGTAGAATCATGGAATGGTTTGAGTAGGAAGGGACCTTAAAGCCTGTCCAGTTCCAGCTCCCTTCCATGGGCAGGGACACCTTCCACTAGACTAGGTTGCTCCAAGCCTGTTGCAACACGGCCTTGAACACTTCCAGGGATGGGGCAGCCACAGCTTCTCTGGGCAACCTGTGCCAGGGCCTCACCACCCTCACAGGGAAGAATTTCTTCCCAATATCCCATCTAACCCTGCCCTCTGTCAGTGTGAAGCTGTTCCCCCTTGTCCTGTCGCTCCAGGCCCTTGTAAATATTCTCTCTCCATCTCTCTTTTTGGCTCTCTTCAGGTACCAGAAGGCCACAATTAGATCACCCTGAAGCTTGTCTTCTCCAGGCTGAACAATCCCAATTCTCTCGGCCTTTCCTCACAGCAGAGCTGCTCCATCCCTCAGATCATCTTGGTGCCTCCTCTGGACTTGCTCCAACAGGTTCATGTCCTTCATGTGCTGGGGACCCCAAAGCTGGAGGCAGCACTCGAATGGTCTTTCAGAAGTCCTTCGCATGGATGAAACAACACAAGCATCCTCAATATGTTGCATATTTGGTGCCCTCAAATATGTCAAGTACATAAAACAAGAGGAGGAGCAACCCAAATTAGCAGGGAGATAAACTTATCAGCAGTTGCAGTGCATGGGGTTCCTGTTTATTGCCACACACCTGGGAGGCAAACAGCAGAGAGGGTGGAATCGCCCAATTGGAGAGAGGGTAGTCTTGGGATTCTGGATTAACTGTGCTGGAAGCTTTACACAAAAATACATAGTGCCAGTGGACTCCTTTCCCCTCCTTAGCCATCCTCTTCCAAGAAATGTGGCTTCAGTAGGATCACATACACCTTTGGCAGCTGAACTGGAACTCCCTCCCATCTGACAGAACTCAAAACTCAGGCACTGCAATCTCAGGTGGCCCTGATGACTCCCTGCCAATCCCAAGGTGCCCAACCTGCTCCTCAAACATTGGCCTCAGAATTCCCTTTGCCAGAGCTCATAGCCAGAGCTGGCAGGCGGAGCACGAGGGCCCCAGGTGGGAGGGCAGCTCTTGGAAGCAGGTTTGAAATGGTGCCTCTGACACAGAGAAAAACTGTTCCCTTCATGTCCCGAATGCTGAATCTGGATCAAAGTGGTTTATGGATTTATTCCTGACACAGAATTGACCAGCAATCAGTGA